TCCAGGCTGGTGTATGCTGGGAGGTGCTTATTGTGTAGCTGCCGGGTAGGCAGGGCTGACGGGTCCTCTCCACCACCGGGCCGGTCTTCGTGCTGTCGAGATGCGGCTCAGTGGTGACCAGAGAGGGGTCGTGGTCGTGGTGAACAGCAGGGTGCTGCCAGGGAAAAGGGCTGCAAAAGGTAGAGTTTGGGGGATATTCATCGTTTCTTCTCCCTCTTCCTGCCTCCCTAGAGAGAGGACGATGCAGACAAAATAGGCACAGTGGAGTACTATGGGATGGGTGGCTACCCCGGCTTCGGCCTGCAGTACTACCCCTACTACGGCAAGCTCCTGCAGCCGCGGTACCTGCAGCCGCTGGTGGCGGTGCAGTTCACCAACCTGACCTACGACATGGAGGTGCGCGTGGAGTGCCGGGCCTACGGGCAGAACATCCAGTACAGCGACAAAGACCGCTTCCAGGGACGCTTTGATATTAAATTTGACATAAAAAGCAGCTGATTGTAAGCACAACTCTCTTCCCCCCTTCCCCTCCCTCCTCCTCCTAGCCATTTAAAAAGGTTAAAAAAAAAAAAACAAAAACAAAACAACAACAAAAAAAAAAAGAACAAAAAAGAAAACCTACTAGTCTTGAACAAACTGTCATACGTATGGGACCTACACGTAATCTATATGCTTTACACTAGCTTTCTGCATTTACTAGGTTAGAATGTAAACAAAGTGTAGCAATAGCGACAAATATTTATTCTACTGTAAATGACAAGAAAACAAAATTGAGCCTTGGGATGTGCCCATTTTTACTGTAAATTATGATTCCATAACTGACTTGTAGTAAGCAGTGTTTCTGGCCCCTAAGTATTGCTGCCTTGTGTATTTTATTTAGTGTACAGTACTATAGGTGCATACTCTGGTCATTTTTCAAGCCATGTATTGTATCTGTTTTCTACTTCTTGTGAGCAAAGACTTTTGCTGTCCAAGGTGTAAATACTCAATGGGACTAGAACTGGCATGATAATACTTCTCATTATTTTGTTCCTTTTCAAAGAAAGGCCCACCTGTGAGACTATATTTAACAGCACTCCATACGGCTTCTGACTTTTCTGTGGTGTTAGGGTATTTTATTTGGAGGGGTGGCAGGGGAAACTAACTTAAGTGACGTTAAAGAGAATAGGTGATTGTGTACTGTGCTTTGTAGCGAATGCTGTCTCTCTCTCCACCTCTTCCCTCATCCTCCAGTATGTTGTGTGGGAGACCGGGTCAGACTATCACTCCCCTCAGTGATAGGCGTAACTCTTTGCTTTGTATATTTTCTTTTCTTTTTCTTCTTTCTCTTCTTTTTTTCTTTTTTCTCTCTTTTTTTTTTTTTTTTTTTTTTTTTCCTGCTGGAGGCATCGCACACTGTGGTGCTAATGTCTTTATTGAATGTTTTAACCATTTTCATGGTGGAAGAATTTTATATTTATGCAGTTGTACAATTTTATTTTTTCTGCAAGAAAGTGTAATGTATGAAATAAACCAAAGTCACATGTTTGAAAATAAATCTTTTATTTTAAACTTTATAAAAGCAATGCAGTACCCCATAGAATGGTGTTAAATGTTGTCTAAAGTGCAAAACTCTATGTTCTAACATGTAATAATAGCCAGGAGTACAGTGCTCTTGTTGATCTTGTATTTCAGTCAGGTTGAAACATTGGACAAATAAATGAATGAACACACCATTCTGCCTGCGTGTCTCTTGCATTGGCTGAGGATGGGGGCTGTTAGGTGTCCAGAATCTTGAAGAAGTACTGCACCTGTTTCAAAGAGAAGGTACATCTTTATCAGTCCCAGCACCTCTCAGCTGAAGTGAGTTGAAAGGTGCATGGGGGTTGCCCCAAATTGCTGGTTCCACCTGTGAACAAAGGGGTTAGGTGGTGGCTCTAGAAGTGTGTGGCATGGTGTTGGTTATTTGTTTTCCCCTCTCCCTGAGCTGCCTCAGGGGCTGCTGTGGCACATGTGCCCATGATCGCACCAGTCAGGAACCCAAAAAGCCTTCACTGTATTCAGTTACTGCAAGTTCACTACGTCTGGAGGCGCAGGCCCCCTGTTCTTGTAGTAACTGCAGGTGGTAAAAGGTTTTACCATCTTTGGTGTTGGGTTAAAGCATCCACCAGCACTGTGTGCTGCAGGGCCGGAGGGGGCACAGGGAAGTCCCCAGCAGAAGAGAGGGAATGCCGCGGCAGCCGCTTCTCCTGCGTTGCTGCTGGCCGCTGAGGACAGGCTCTGCCCGCCAGGGCTGCTCAGACGTGACAAAACGTGGCAGCCACCTTCCTGCAGGAGTCAAGATCACTTTATGCTGCATGATGCAGATTACCCAGGAGAATTTTTCTGTGTAAAGTGATAAAACGCGACTGACCTAGAGCAAGCTGCTTGATAAAGCCTTCCTCACTGGCATGCATGACACTGGAAAAGCACCCTGCTAAACTTTTTTGCCCTCTGCTCGAAGGAAAAGCACGGTTATGGTACGCTGTGGCGGTTAGCGTACGCATTGGGCTGTTTCACACTGTGCCCAAGGAGCAGGTGGTAGCGGAAATCTCACCTTCCACCGTTTAATTTGCTGCTGTACTTTTGTAGTGAGGCAAGGATTTAACGAAGACGCTGTGAGTAAGGTGCTAAAATACCCCCTGAAGGAAGCGCCACCTGCACAAGACCTGCAGGAAAGCGGATCTGTTTTGGCTCCCAGCAACTGGTGGGTGTACCACTGCCACCGTTGGGGGTGTGCATGGCTCAAGGTTTGGTAGGATCAGCTGCCCCTACAAGTTAATTCTTACGTGCAGATCCTGTGATAGGTTAAAAAAAAACCAAACCACAAACCCAAAACCCAACACCAGAAACCAACCAACTAAAAAAAAAAAAAAAGCAACCCCCAGACTGCCTTATTTATAAAAGACCCAACTCACGATTACATAATTCATTTCCTTTTAATTTACTATATGAGTGCAAAGTCCGAGCACAACCCAGTAATAAAGAAAGATAATGGCTTAGTCCAGGGGTTGGGCCAAACATTGTAGAGAACTTGTGGTGCCTGCGTTGGCTTCAGTGAGCAAGTGTCAAGCGCATAGGAAATGCAGCAAAAACAAACCTTCCCCTCCCCCCTGCCCAATCACTTTCTCTTACCAAATCAGTGAAAGCAGGCCAGCCCCAGCTGATCACTAATTAACCAGCACTAAGGGCAATAGCTACAATAGATCAAGTAAATTGAGCAGTAATTTGTGCCGTTCACAGGTACCTTCCAAGCTTCTGTAATGAAGGTTCTTCAACTTTCTTAAACTGTTCCAACCCTGTAGTAAATTGTGGTTTTGCTTACCAAAATGTCTTTGTCTGTGGAGAACTGGCATGTGTGATGGTTAATTCTAGCCAATGGGGTTACTGTTTGTATTAGCACTCACTCAACATTGGTGTTTTCACCAATATCATCCTTCCTTAATTTAACATTTTTCTTTTTAAAAAATGCCAAGTTCACAAGAGGAGATTCACAAAATCTATGCCTATCTACAAAGTAAAGCTAAATGTTTTGAGTCTATGAGGACCTGCACAAAGAATTCAAAGACTGCACAAGGGGAAAGGGGGGGGTCAAAATGTGACAGCTTACCAACCCAATTTAAAATTAACATTGCTTTCAAGATTTTTATTTTTTTTTTAATTAATCTGTGCTGTATTGCCTATGTAAAAAAATCTCTTCTCCTGGGGAAGGCATCAGTTCCCTCAGTGCCTAATAGGCCATTACAGCACAAACTGCCACGTTGAATGGGCTGTGCTTTCTGCCAGATTGGCTCAACATAGTTAAGTAAGTATAACCATAGCCATTAAAGTGAATTTTATTGCCCCACACCTGCATTTCAAGCATAGAGGGAGACACACAAAAATGCTAATTAAAAAAAAAAAAAAAAGGGCAGGGGGGAGGGAGAGACACACATTTAAGGACAAGAACCTTTAAGGCTGTGTCTGCACGAACACTTGCACTCACACGCACCCACTACCAGTTTTACAGCTCGGAGTGTTGGCACTTTTGGGCTTCTGTTCCCAGTTTGGCCGAGGGCGGCTGGCCGGCACGGGCCAGGCATGACCCTGGGCGTGTGCGGGGAGCTGTGCCAAGGGCAAAGAAAAAGGCCCAGCCCCAGCCCTGCAGGCCCCGTTTCCCTGAGATGGGGCAGGTCTAATGGAGCTGCATCAGCTCCCACCGCTCCCTGCGCGACCTCGGCCCGAGCAACGAGGCCTCCCCCAGGGGTTTGGTAATGATCCGCCCCGGCAGCACACACTGACCCAGGTGAATGCTGGCCTCGCCCAACGCCCGCTCACTTGCTAGTAGCAGCAAAAGGCATTGTGTTATTTTAGTCCTTAAAAGCCCCTAATCTTGTGCAACCAATTTGCCCAGGCCAGGCTGAACAACGTCAGCCTACTTACAGCGTACAGAAAACCTCTTCTTCCTCAATTAGCGTTCATTGGGTTGCTGAAGATCCACACGGACTGTACCGGCAAGGCTCGGGCAAGCAGAACAAACACATTACGTATTGTGTAATGTGCAAAACTAGGTGCCGGTATGTTCTCTGTGTGTGTATATATATATAATCATCTTCATGTGGGTCAACTGCCACCCAGCTCCCAATAACACCAGTTAAGGGCTGGCGTGTGTGGTACACAGAAAGGCTCCTTCTCTCCAGGAACCTCACCCTCAGGAGCCCAGCAGTGCTGGACAAGAAACGCCAGAAATAAGGGCCATCCATTACCCCACCTACACAACAACGCATGTGGTGTTTTGCAGAACCACCAAGACCAAGGATTTCAGCACTACCGACAGATTTAGGGTGCCCCCATCTTATGAGACCCCAGTTGGAGACAGCTTGAAGAACTGCATTCTAAAAGCACCACGTCCTTTTCCAAGGGGATCCAGGACTTGGAGGTACTTGCACCGAGCATCCAGACAGGGATTAGGCATTGCAAAGCACTCTGTATTTTAGGAAATACAGTTACTCTCTTTCCCAGGGACCGAGTAGAGTATAAACCACTAAGAAGGGAGCTGTGCCTGTGCCAAACATCTCAACAAGCTCTGATCCAAGCACACCTCTGGTCTCTTCACAGGACCCAAATGTGGCAGAGGACAAACCCACACCAGGAACTCATCTGAAACCAACCAAATGCATTTCACAGGTGTCACCCAAACGCCCTTCAAATGATGCTAACTTTCAGGTGTGGTCACTCCTTCCCAGGGATGAAACAGGATTAAATTTAACATCAGTACTCTCCCTACAGATCCCAGGAACAATCTACCTGCTTTATAGCACGCAGCTATGCCTGCTCTAGCTCCTGTTCAGGGACAAATAACAATAATGCTCAGGAAGTAGTAATGGGTGCATAACTGTGACCTTCTGGCTCTGACCCTATAAACTGCTTCACGAGGAGGAGCCGAGAGCTGCTTCGGTTCCATGAAGTTTTGCTCCAGTCACATGCGCTCTCTGCAAAACCTGTGTGCATGAAGTCAGCCGCTCCCTCTGGGCACTTCCACGCGTTACTGCAAAGCTTCAGGAGTTAATACAGCAGGCAGTAACAAAAGCCAGTCTAATGCCCTGACTGAGCACAATTATCATCTGAACAATGTGTGCCCTAAGAGCACAGGAGAGGCCAGGCAAAATGGAAAAAAAAAAAAAAAAAAAAAAAAAAAGAGAAGGAAGCAAATCAAGTGAGGCAAGCAGTCTTCCAAGGGAGAGCAAAAGGTCTTGGTAATAACACAGGACCCAGCGCAGGCACAAAGTGTCCTGAAGAATTCAAGTGTAAGAATTACAGACACCTACAGTTTCATTCTCCTCCTGCACAGAAAACAAAGCAAAAAGCAGTGCTGATGAGAAATGTCAGCTGAGCATCTTTGGAGTCAGCGCTTTTGTCTACAGAAGGACAGACCACGCTACACCTTGAACGGTACCAGCATATCAGACAGGCAGGATTACACCTCACCTCAGAGGAAACCCCAGCACTGAAAGGGTACCTCAGCGTTCATGGTCATTCCCCTTGTTCCCTTGCGCTGGCAGTTTTTGATAAGAGACCCTGTTAGTATCGCTGGTGGCAGAATCAAGGGGGCTGATGGGGAGAAATACTAGTAGGAAATATGCTGAGATCACAGATTCACTCATCCATCACCAGAAAGATGAGAGCAATTTCAGTCCTTCCTCATCTCTGCGGAGCCAAAATTGGCAGCTGGGAGATGGAAGGCTTTTTCATCCCTGTATTCATTTAGAGCCTGTCAGTCATCTCCGTGCCTTTCACGCAGCTGGACAGACACTTGCCAGTGCCCTCTCGCCAAAACCACCATAAAACTGTATCACCTCCTTGGTTCAGCATAGGTATCCAGGCACATGATCCACAGAGTCTTTGCTGACCTGAAGTTTCAGCATCAGTGCGCTCTCCCTAAACACTCAGGTCTTAGAATTTTTTTACAGGTTATCATCTCAGTTTGAGCTCACTAGTAGGAACGAAAAATTTCTCTTTGTCCATTAATCTTGGTTTGCACCTCAGCAAGAACCTGCACTTGCTAACACCTAAAATGCCTTTCAGCTACAGTTCACTCAGCTGACTCACATGACTAAATCATTAGGTTAACACGCCAAAAACCCATGGATTCACACCATCTTTCCAGCACAAGCAGACCAGAAATAAAAATGGTTGTCAAAGGAGAGGGTCTACTTAATCATTGTATTATTTATTCTGAAAATAAAGAACTATTTTCCCACATGAACCCGAAAAGGGTCTAGTCCCAGGAATT